GAGGCCATGGTCCTCAACCGGAAAAAGGTGGATTGCTCTCTCCAGATCGAGGGTGAGGTTCTGCCTCAAGTGGAGGAATTCAAGTATCTTGGGGTTTTGTTCACAAGTGAGGGAAGAATGGAGTGTAAGATTGACAGATGGATTGGTGCAGCATCTGCAGTATTGCGGACTCTGTACCGGTCCGTTGTGGTGAAGAGGGAGCTGAGCTGTAAGGCAAAACTCTCTGTTTACTGGTCGGTCTATGTTGCTACCCTCACCTTTGGTCACGAGCTCTGGGTAGTGACCGAAAGAATGAGATAGCGGATACAGGCGATAAAAATGAGTTTTAACAGCATTTGCATATGAAACAAGTGAGTCACAAAGAGCTCATGTAATGGCAGGATGCAACATTTCTATGTGATGCAGGAGAAGATCATTTCAGGATCTGAACTGCTCAGGGAGCTGGGCCTGAACTTCACCTCTCTGATTTACATTCAGTATCATTAATGGGAAAAGGGAGGTAAAATGGAGACTGTTGGCTTTTGTGACTCATTCATTGAACAAAATATATTGTTAGAATATGTTCTCATATTAACTTGTCTTTATGAGTTTTTTGTGTTTTGTGTTCATACTGCCTTATTTGCTTGAAAAAAAAAGGCACAGCTGGAAGTTATGTATCCAGTCACGTTATGTTTATCATGTTTGTGCATGTTGTTCTGCTGTTATCCACTAGGGGTGATAAGAAAGAGTTCTGTGTGTGAAATTGTTCTGAAGAAGAAGAAGTTGTGGGGCCTGTGAGATAACAATAAAACAAACATTTTTATCAGAAGAAAAGACGTGGGGTTCCTTGTGAATATAAGTATTGAAAAGGAAAATAACAAATATGAGCTTTTTAACCATCTTGGTGACCTCAGCACCAAAGATTGGAGAGCCCGACCCAGAGACCCCAGGCTCCGCTTCCTCAGTGGAAGACGTGCCAGTGGGATTGAGGAGGTCTTCGAAGTATTCTGCCCACCGACCCACAACATCCTGAGTTGAGGTCAGCAGCACACCACCTCCAATATAAATAGTGTTGATGGCTGACTGTCATTGCCCACGTGAGCGTTGAAGTCTCCCAGTAGAACAAGGGAGTCCCCAGGAGGCGCACCCTCTAGTACCCCCTCCAAAGACTCCAAAGAGGGTGGGTAATCTGAGCTGCTGTTTGGCGCATAAGCACAAACAACAGTCAGAACCGGTGGATGATCCGGTATGGTTTTGATTTAATGAACTCACATTATAGTTTTGGCAAAAGTGTTTTACGTCGGATGCCCTTCCTGACACAACCCTCACCATTTACCCGGGCTTGGGACCAGCACAAGAGATGCACTAGTTTGTGCTCCCTAGTGGCTGGTTTAAAAAAATCTATTTGCGTATGCGGGCGGGGCAAGGCGGGTGGGGCAAGGCGGGCGGGGTGAGGCAGACAGAGCGTGGCATTGTTGTCGGGGGGTGGGGGGCAGTGGGACCGCAAACAACCCGTTAGTATTTTCATCATGGGAGGAGTCGGTGTTTGCGACTCCCGCATGTTAGCCTAACGTGTGAGAGCTTGTGCAAAGAGAATAACCTTCACACACATGTGGTGCGAACGACAATAAAGAATCTCTGACTCTGACTGAATTTATTTTGTGTAAGATTGGGTTAAAGTTTGAGGTGTTGCTTCTATTTTGATCTGTTGTTACTAAAACACTTAGATAACACATTTCCTCTTTTACAGAGATGTTACACAGCTCAGATTTATTTCAGTTTTTAATAGGCATAATCTCACTTTGCAGATGATACAGCGGTGGTGGGATGCATCACAAACAATGATGAGTCCAACTACAGGCAAGAGGTGGAACACCTGGAGAGCTGGTGCAAAGAGAATAACCTTCACATCAATGTGAAGAAGACAAAGGAGATGATTGTGGACTTCAGAAGGAACAAAGACATCTACACCCCCCTGAACATAAGAGAATCTGCGGTGGAAGTGGTCTCCAGCTACAAGTACTTGGGTGTACACATGAATGACAACCTCAGCTGGAGCAACAACACCACCAGCCTGATCAAGAAAGCTCATCAGACTCTACTTCCTCAGACGGCTGAGGCGAGCTGGTCTGGGAAGCTCAGTCCTCACCTCCTTCTACAGGTGTGCAGTGGAGAGCATCCTGTGCTCCAGCATTAACGTGTGGCATGGAAGCTGCACAGCTGCAGAAAGAAAAGCTTTGCAGAGAGTGGTGAAGGCTGCACAGAAATCTGTCGGAATCAGCCTCCCCACCATCACAGACATCTACACCTCCAGATGCAGGAAGAGAGCCACCTGCATCATGAAGGACCCCACTCACCCAGCACACACACTTTTTGCCCCACTCCCCTCAGGAAGGAGGTTAAGGAGCATTAAGTGTAGAACCACTAGACTGAGGAACAGCTTCTACCCTGAGGCTGTTAGACTCATGAATCTCTAACTAGAATAATCACTGTGAAAAACCATATCATGTTGCTGCTGATCTGTTTCAGTGTTGATGTGTTCATGCGTGCACATCTGCTCAGACTCATGTTCATGTTTGTGCTGATGTTCAATGCTTTATGTTATGAGTGCTTAGTGTATATTTAGTTGATGTTTTTCTTAGTTCATATCTTAGATGTTATTACTGTTTTTCTTATACATTTTATTGTTGGATGTAACTGGGACCTTGTGTACATAATTTCGCTCCACCACATGTACCACATGAGGTGCGAATGACAATAAAGAAACTCTGACTCTGACTCTGACTCACATTTCTTAATATTGAGGGATAAACCAGATGCCCTTGAGAACTCCTGAATTGTATTAATTAATACAGACATTTGGCTTTCATTTCTCAAAAAAGTGTTGTGTTATCTGCTAGTTGTGTTAAATGAGCTTATTACCAATGAGACAGATGTCTTCTACAGCACTGTTTTGAATATGACATGCTATAAGTTGTGCTACTAGTAAAACGAGGTATGGAGAAGCTGGGCAGCCCTGTCTTATTCCCCTGGAGAGATTGAAGCTGGGCAGTGTGCCACCTGGCAGTTTATTAGAGCTATTGCAGTTCTATAGTGTCTTTATAGAAGAGGAAAAGTAGTTGCCAAAGCCAAATTTATGTAATGATTGTAGGATGAACTGGTGCTCGATTGTATCAGAGGCCTTCTAGAAATCTAAGCACAAATAGAACCATCAACATCTAAAATATCTGAGTAATCCAAAATATCAAAAACTAGCCTAATGTTGTTTGTTGTGTTTTTTGGACAAACGCATCAGATAAAATACTCCGTGCAAATACTGTGATATAAATTTCTGGATACACTGTGATCTCATCAAAGTTCATGCTCAATCATCCAGGTATCAAATCCAATAACTCTCAGTCAGGTCATCTGGACAGTTTCTTTTTTGGTCCACTTGAGGAGTTTACTGCTTGGTGGATAAACAGTTTACTGGAACTCATCAGACTGATGAAGCCCTCCGGATAGAGGGTGAAACGTCTCTGTAAAAAAAAGAAACTGTCTAGATGACCTGACAGAGAATTATTGGACTGTGATCTCACACCTATTAATTGTTTGTGTGATAGCAGAGATATTTTGAATAGGAATGTATGAAAAAGTTATCCAACCTGTTCTAGATAGCTATTCCAACAACTGCAGCTCAACATTATTAGCTCACTTGACTGGTGCTCTAATAAGAAGTGGTCACCGTAGAGTCTATGGTGGATCACTACATCTCCAATCTCAAAGGTTTTCACCTGAGGGGTATTTTATAAACTGTTACATTGCCATTAATTCTGCATTACTTGATTATTTCTAAAGAATTCTATGACTGTGCACAAGCACAATGGAAACAGCAGCTAGCTGTAGCACTTCTGATGCAACTTGGAACACTTCCAGTAGAATTTTTAAAATATTTCTGTCAAATAATTGTGTAATGCATACAGCAGTGTGAAGACTTATAAATAATGATTTATAAATAATGTTTTCATGAATCACATTGAAACTTTTGATACTGAAGTTGTTATAAGTCGGCAGCAATCTACTTTGATTGTTGCCCTGCTCAGACTAATCTTTGGCTAATTGCTCATACCACAGAATCACACTTTAAATTTTCTGAACTACTCCTTTAAAGGCTTATATCTGTCTATGGCTGGGCTTTTAATCTGATATGATGTGTAAGAAATCTGTAAGAATAGAGAAGGATTTTCTGATGCAAAAAGTACACCCTTGCATTATCTGTTGCACAAATGTTCAAACATTCAAGTTGATTAATTAACAAAAGAGAGAAAACTGAATAAATAACTTTGTTGTTTGATATGAAAACATTTAGAGGTTGAAACTCCACCTGACATGTTTGCACAGGAGGTAGCAGTGTTGTCCAACATATACATTTTAAATGTGCTGCCTCAGTCTAATTTCAGCTACCTTTCAGAAGACACAAAGTCCTTGTGACTTTTATGCCCATTTTGTGAGCCTTTCCCCTGCTTGGCTGACTCAAAAACAAACAAACAAATAAATAAAATGAAAGAATGAACATTTTTTTTTTATTTGTCAGCAGCACTGGTGGCGGTCGTTGTTAACCTGGGCCTCGACCGATCCAGTATGGTTTCGCTTTGATGAACTCGCATTATAGTTTTAGGAAAAAGTGTTTTACGTCAGATGCCCTTCCTGACCCAACCCTCACCATTTACCCAGGCTTGGGACCAGAACCATAGATACACTGGCTTGTACTCCCATGGCTGGTTTGAGCATGAGCTTTGGTGTCTTTTTTAAATTTTTTCCCAAACTACACTTACAGTTTAACTTTCATTTAAATGTTGTTTTATCTTAAGTGTAGCATTTACAGTCTGTAAGTTTTTTTTTTTTTAATGTAATATAATATATATTTTAAAAGAAATTCTCTCTAATTATAAACAGGAAAATACTTTTATTTTGGTATTCTTTTCCGGTCTTTAAATATGAAGCCCCGCCCCCTCCGTCATCACCACCAGTTCCAAACAAACATGGCGTCTCCCGGCTTGTCGGTGGTTCTGTTTCCAGTGGTTTTGGCGGGTTTAGTTGTTTGTGGTGTGACGGACTGTGTGTTTCCGGGTCTAGTCGTTGTCTCCGTGGTCCTGGCTCTCTGTTGGCGGAGCTTACGGCGGAGGGACGACGGGACGGAGCGCCGGGTCTGCGTGCTGGTCCTGGGGGACATCGGACGCAGTCCTCGGATGCAGTATCACGCCCTGTCCCTGAGCAGACACGGATACCTGGTCACCTTTGTGGGCTTTTCAGGTGAGAGTCCCGACTCCTTCTGATTTAGCTCATAGTTCACCTGCTGAAACTATGAGCTAAACAAGTTACAACATGAACCAATAGAAAAACCAACCTTAAAACGAACTAAATTATTACAAACAACATATTTACCCTCGTGATGGGCGAATGAGACGGGTCGCTTCCTGAAAGGGATGTGCAGTGTTGACAGATAGAGTCCAGGTTTTCCAGCCCAAAAATCTGTTAAAAACTGCCACATCACACAAAAACGCGCCCAGTCCATATATTGTTATATAATGTTTGAACATGGAACGCACATCAGTACAAGCCAAAGTAATTATATATATATATATATATATATATATATATATATATATATATGTGTGTGTGTGTGTGTGTGTGTGTGTTGAGCCCTCTCCTATTCACTCTGCTCACTTTTGAAAAGTCCATTGTTCTTTGAACCTGTTTTCAGACACCACACCTCACAGGGACGTCCTGAGCCAGGAGAATATTCGGATTCGGCCCATCTCTGAAGTCAAAGGTGTTGAAGGTAAACGGATCTCTTGTTCTGGTTCTGAGGATCCATGAACTCTTGACTTTTGTCCTGCAGGAGGACCGAAGCTGCTGACGTATGTGACGAAGGCGGCGCTCCAATCTCTGCAGCTTCTCCACGTTCTGCTCACCATGGAGCTGCAGGCTCATATCCTCATGCAGGTCCGTCAGAACACCCAGAGCCACGGTTCTGAAAGTTCTGCGAGAGCAACAAGCTCCTAATGTGCAGCTGTTTGTCTCCCAGAACCCTCCGGGGCTGCCTGGCATGGCGGTGGCATGGCTGGTGAGCGCGGTGCGCGGCAGCAGCTTCACCGTCGATTGGCACAACTACGGCTTCACCATCATGGCCCTGAGCCTCGGAACCAAGCACCCTGTGGTCCGACTAGCCAAGTGGTCTGTACCGCTGCAGACCTAAACACCTGTCAGCAACAAGTCACTCGTTCTGTTCCTTTATGAGCTGTTTTCTCTGACCCAGGTCCAGATTTAAAAGATTTTGTGTTAAAAACTGAAATGTTTACAACAAAATGTGTTGGACGGAACCGTCAGGAAGGCTGGAGATCTACTGCTCCAGTCACTTCGTTTCTGTTGTAGGTGTGTCTCCATGGACATTGGTTTGGACATGTCCAGAGGAGGGACAGATGTTTGGACATGTCAAGGTTTCTTTATTGTCATTCACACCACATGTGGTACATGGGGTGGAACAAAATGATGTACTCAGGGTCTCAGTTACATCCAACAAAAGTGTAAATTGGAAAGAAAAACAGTAATAAGATCTAAGATATGAACTAAGAATACACTAAACACTTAATAGTGCAAAAACAATACTCCAAACAACAGCAGCACGAACATGAGTCTGTGAGCAGATATGGACGAATGAACACAACATGAAATAAATCAGCAGCATGAGATCAGGAGCATGGATAATCAGCAGCACATATCAACAATCAAGTGGCATTACAGTGATTTTTTTTTCACAGTGATTATTCTGGTTAGAGATTCATGAGTTAACAGCCTCAGGGTAGAAGTTGTTGCTCCTTAACCTCCTTCCTGAGGGGAGCAGGGCAAAAAGTATGTGTGCTGGATGAGTGGGGTCCTTCATGATGCAGGTGGCTCTCTTCCTGCATCTGGAGGTGTAGATGTCTGTGATGGTGGGGAGACTGACTCCAACAGTCTTCTGTGCAGCCTTCACCACTCTCTGCAAAGCTTTTCTTTCTGCAGCTGTGCAGCCTCCATGCCTCACGTTGATGCTGGAGCACAGGATGCTCTCCACTGCACACCTGTAGAAGGAGGTGAGGACTGAGCTTCCCAGATCAGCTCGTCTCAGCCGTCTGAGGAAGTAGAGTCTGATGAGCTTTCTTGATCAGGCTGGTGGTGTTGTTGCTCCAGCTGAGGTTGTCATTCAGGTGTACACCCAAGTACTTGTAGCTGGAGACCACTTCCACCGCAGATCCTCTTGTGTCCGGAGGGTAGGTATGTTTGTTCCTTTTGAAGTCCACAACGATCTCCTTCGTCTTATTCACATTGATGTGAAGGTTGTTCTTCCTGCACCAGCTCTAGGAACTGTTGCCAGGATAAGTGAGGAGTTAAATATGTTGGCCAGCACCTTGCATACACAGGAAAAATAGAAGAGTAATTTTTTCGGAGTTAACATTAT